TCAACCTTGGCAGCAGCAACGCAAAGCATAAAACCAATAGATCTTGCGGTATTTGATATATTGAATTATTGATGGAACACACCAACAAAATGCTCCTTTCTTAGTACAGCTAAATGCAAAGTACGGTTAATCATGCTCAAGATCATGTTAACCTTGCTCTTTTTTGTAAGGGACGTACAACAGGGTAGAATAGCAAACGAAAAAGGAAAGGACAGAGGGAAGAGAAACCACATGCAAGGGGCCATGGACTCACCTTCTGGACCAAGGTTCACGACCATGATGAGGCGATGGCGTCACCACAGATCAAGCACCAGTCACAGTCGCAGAAGGTGGCTGCAGCAAGGCGAAGAAGAATGTCATTTCTCAGGGGAAAGCAAAGCAGAAACGAGGAGGAAGACACAACTCCAAACCCTGGCATGCATGGAGGCCGTACGTCTTCAAGCTTTGAGTGGAGTGAAGCAGAGCATCCAACTTGAACTGGCAAATGCACACAGGATAGGTAGACTTAAGTAGAGATGTACCGCGTGCGGCACCAGGACTAGCACTTATTTCTTCAATGCCAACTTGGTAGGCTTTTGTGGTGGACATTACATGTGTCTTTTAATGTACCTCCATCTACTATCATATTAAATTTGTTTGGTAACTACTAGTTAGGTGGGGTGAAGCCAAATACCACGGGACGAATCTGTGTGGGACTCCCACGGTGGGAGTTTGTGCATTACTTTGGGCTATTTGCAACTCCCACAACGATTGTGTTCTTAACAGAACAAAGATTCAAAAGTTTTTGCAAGTTATCTACGGAGCTTCTGGATGGTTCCGTATACTGTAATTACTACACCATGTGAAAGCAACGGATCTTATTGCCTATGGATGCAACCAATGAAAGATGATAGCATGGGCTACATATAACCGGTTTGGACGACGGTCTGGTTGTGCATTTGTCCTGTAATTTTTACTTTTGTACTGTAGCTCAATACTTATAAATTGTTAACAAATGACTGCGTGCATCAATTAATGCAGAGATTGGGTAATCCTTCTTTTTTGAGAAACCAAGGACGAGCAAGGAGCACTGCCCCACGGCAGTAGGGTCCTCATTTCCCTTGCAGTGCTCCGGCTGCAATGGCGTTTGCCCCAACGCCCAAGCATAGGTCAGAGTCAGCCGTGCAATGCGTGCCTTCAATTCACATCACCACCTGGCCAGCTTTGTTGTGCATTATTGAGCTTCGGCGTGCGAAATGCATGGTGGTATGTACGTCGTATACGTGCTTGGCGTCATTATCAGTACCCCATTACTAAATATAAGTTTTTTTAGAGATCCCAATAAGGGACTAGTAGTATATACGAAGCAAAATGAGTAAACCTACATTCTAAAATATGCCTATATACATGTGTATGAAGTTTGTATTGAAATATTTAAACAGACTTGAATGAAACGATCAGATCAGAACGTACGTGTTCCCTCAGAAGTGAGATGGCCCACACGTCCATTTTGGCAAAGAATCAACGTCCAAGCTTGTAGCAGGTGCAGGTGGACCAGACCAGAAAGCAAGGTATATGTTAAAATTAAATGTCCATGCATGCATCTTTTCATGATGATGTGGCAAGTACGAGTGCAACTACACGAGGCAATCCTTCCAGATGATAAGTGGCAATTTGCTAGCGGCTTGCTGTAAATTTTAATCTTACGCAGCCAACATGATGACGGAGGCCGTGGCCACACCATGTGCGAGGGGTTGCACCTAGCAAACACAAAGGGATATAATCTTCTGCAAGCGGGTAGAACGATCTACGCAGATTTTATTGACATGGCTAGGGACATCAGGAAGGTCCAGTATGGACACGGTCGAAGAGAAGTGAATGGCGCTTCTCATGAGTTACCTAGCTTTTGTTTCACTCTCTCAAAAACTAAAGCTTTTATTTCACTAATAAAAATTTATTGCAGTTGGGCCGATGAAACCCATAATGCTATAATGGCCTTGCCTGAAACAACATGAACCTCGGGTTGTGATCTCGGCCACCTCGATGATGCCAAGATAGCCACCGGTTCCTTCTCCATCTGCATGAGCCTCAACAGGTGGGGAGAGATATTGTTCATTGGTTTGAACGCGGCGATGAGCATGCGCATGTCCATCAACCTGGGCCGCATCCATGCCTTCTGCCTTCAATTGGTCTCTGCCATGAGTATCTCCCCCGTCTGATGCCTTGAGGGCATCTGGCTGATAATCCTGCTCGCAATGGCTGATGCAGTGCATGATGATCTGGTTTGTGGAGTCGCATGCGGGCGCCAGTGGGGGGCGGGCGATGAGCACGCTATGCAATGACCCATTGTAGATGCAAAGATGGGCCATGTCCATGTTGGCAAACAATCAACGTCCCAGCTTTCATGTACCAAAGGACTAGGACTAGGACTAGGACTAGGACTAGGAGCATTGGCTCAGCCATTAGGGTCTTTAACTCACATTGCCCTTCCAGTGCTCTGACTGGAATCGGGTGTACCCAATCCCAACGCTCAATCATAAGCATAGGTCGAGCTTTGCTAGTTAGATCACAATTCACTCAGAGACTCAGAAGCAGTCGTGGCATGCATGCCTTCAATTCACACCACCATTCAACGAGCTTTCTGGTTATGTCTGGTGAATTATTAGCCTTAACGTGTCAAATTGACGGTGATCTGCACGTCGTACATTCTTGGCCTAACTTGACACAAAGGTCATTCCTCAGTACTCACTGCTACTTCAAACACACTACGTACACAACTTCAGAGTTTGGGAAAAAAATGGATTTGATGATACAGCATTGTTTCTATCACGCGCCTAAACGTATATTGTCTATATTTTTTAAGAGCTAGGTCAATGATGATTGATGAATCTGTATGTTGTGTAGGGAAGCTCAACGTACTCAACATCCGTATGTTTTTAATGAAACTACAGTACCTATTGGTCACAGTGTTAAACATCATTGTACTTGTTGTATGCCTTGCCACGGTATGTTATGAACCGTGCCGGCTAGATATGTGGTGTGCGTGTTGTAGTTAGGATAGGTTAGATTGTTGTGATTAGATCTTGATGGTTAGCTTAACTTGTAGATCAATCCACAACTAACCTATCCCTAACCTCTTTGTAATCTTTGCCACGCCGCCCATCTGGCCTATATTAACACGCATCGCGCACCTGCTCTGGCATGCGCTTCCAGCCTCACGTTTCACATGGTATACAGAGCCTAAGTCTTCCACACATCTAGATCATGTCGTCTTCCTCCTCCTCCCACGCCATGGCCATGCCCTCGCTCGCCTCCCTCGGCCACACCATCACGGAGAAGCTCACCCATGACAACTTTCTGGTGTGGAAGGTGCAAGTCCTTCCGCACGTCAGGGCTGCGGCGATGATGGGCTACCTTGACGGCTCGATCAAGGAACCCGCTGCTGTCATCGTCACCGAGAAGGAGACCAATGGGAAGAATGAGACCACCGAGCTGCCAAACCCCGAACATGCAATCTAGGTTACTCAAGATCAACAGGTCCTAACTTTTTTGCTCGCATCTCTATCCCGTGAAGTGCTGATGCAGGTGTCCAATCACACCACGGCCGCGGGCGTCTGGCAAGCCCTGGTCGAGAGCTTCTCCGCGCAGTCCCGAGCACGCCAAATCTAGCTCCGCTCGGCGATCGGCAATGCCCGCAAGGGCGATCTCTCCGCCTCTGCTTACTTCACGAAGATGAAGGGATTAGCAGATGAACTCGCTGCCGCAGGAAAGCCCCTCGAGGAGGATGACATCGTATCGCATATCCTCGAGGGCCTCATGCATGAACCCGACTACAACGGGTTCGTCACCTCCATCTCCACGCGCGCTGCCACCGATCGGCCGATCGGTCTCAGCGAGCTTTTCTCCCTGCTGCTCTCTGCGGAGGCCCGGATCACTGCCCAGCATGACGCCTTCTCCGCTCACCACTCCGCCAACCTTGCTGCGAAGGGTGGTCGTGGCGGCTACGGCGGCGGACGCGGTGGTTAGAGTGGTGGACGCGGTGGCTACGGCGACCGCGGCAGTGGCTACGACGATCGCGCCAACTACTCCGACAACAACCATGGTGGTGGCGGTGGTGCGCCGCGCCAGCAAAACGGTGATCGCGGTGACCGTGAACGTTGTCAAATCTGCAAGGAGGAAGGCCACGGTGCGTGGCGCTGCAGGAAGAGGTACGATAAAGGCTTCAACAACAATGTACGGAACCCTGCAGGCAGCGGTGGTGGCGGACGCGGTGGTGGTGGGCGCGGTGACGGTGGCGGTAGTGGTGGCAACTCACGCTCCGCCAACTTTGCCCACTCCTACGGTGTGGATACCAATTGGTATCTTGACACTGGAGCCACAGATCACGTCACCGGCGAGTTGGAGAAGCTAGCTGTCCGCGATCGCTACACCGGCACCGACCAAATTCACACGACAAGTGGGCAAGGTATGGACATAGAGCATATTGGTCATTCAGTATTATCT